AACCCTAAATCCCTAAAACCCTCAACCTTAAACCCGAAACCCGAAGCCACATGACCCCGACTCGAAGCCCCAAGCCCCAAGCTGCTCATCCTGTGAACCACCCGACGCCCGACGCCCTACCAGGAACCCCAAGCCGCAAGGAACCCAAAGTGCTCAAGAAGCCTACCAATAGGGTTTAGGGTTTAGGAGTTTCGGGTTTGGGGTTTAAGTGTTTGGGGTTTAAGGGTTTTGGGTTTAAGGTTTAGGGTTTAGGGTTTAGGGCTTAGCGTTCAGATCCAACTAGTTCGAGGACACCCTTAAAGAAGCTACCCTTTACAGACTTGTCTAAACCCGCAATGCTGGACCCTAAGCCCTAAACCCCAAAACCCCCCAAAACCTTAAACATCCTAAAAACCCGAAAACACCCTAAAAACCCTAAACCACTGTTTTCTACACAAAAAAATCCACCTTTTCCTCCCCTTTTGGAGCCCAGGGCTCTGCTGCAAAGCGGCAGTAGCGCGTCATGAGGGACTCCGTGAGCTCCGGCACGAAGTGATGGCAAAGTTCGGCCTGGAGGTTCAGGGTTTAGGGTGTAGGATTGAAGGCCCCTTAAAAGGGATCTATAAGGGTTGAGGGTTTAGGGTTTTAGGGGCTAAAAAGTAGGATTGACAGCTCCTTAAAGGATCTAGAAGGGTTGATGGTTTAGGGTTTTAGGGGCTACAAAGTACCCTTTGGTCGCATAGGGTCCGGATTTTTGGATGAGGATTGTGTGATTGTGGTTTACTGGGTTCTTGTTAAGGGATTAGGGTTTAGGGTTTAGGGTTTAGGGTTTAGGGTTAAGGGTTTAGGGATTTAATTTAAGTTACCATAATAGGGATCTATAGTAAATAATATGGTTTCCTTATTATGGCAACTTAAAGTAAATCCCTTAACAAGAACCCAGTTTAGGATTGCAGCTGTCTGGGGGAGAGGGGGGAGTTTCAAAGGGGTCTCAACGTGGGAAACTTCATGATTAGAGCAGGGTTAGGGGGGGGTTATTTAACAAAAGTCACAGAAGGACGGGCTCTTGGATTGGTGATTGGTGTTCTCTTTAATTGCTGCTCGAGTGTTTCCGGTCTGCCGGGTTTAGGTGTTGCTAAAGTGTAGGGTTTAGGTTTAGAGCTCAGGGGTACTACGGCAACAAAACGAGACCTGCACCTAGTCGACGTCCTCGCCCTCATCCTGCATGTTGACAGGCACCTCGAGCACACTTCTTGAAGTCCCGCACATGGCTTTGCATGCACAAACCCGAAACCCCAAAATCCTCACCCAACCTCACCCCAAACACCCCTAAACCCTAAAGCCTGAACCCCAAAAGATCAAGAAAGTCTAAAGCCCTCTTCAGCCCAAACCCTCAACCCCAAGGAAACCAGAGAACCCGACACCCCTTAATTAAGGAATAGACCTTAATTATATCATAATATTAAGGCCCCTATATTTTAAGGTATATTCCTTAATTAAGGTGTAGTGGGTTCTCTGGGAAACCCTGCCAGCTCCAAGCGCATTCCCTGATGCAACTGAGGGACGCATACAGCTACCGGGGTTCCACGGGGTTGAAGGCTCACGGGCTCAGACCTTCCAATATCCCTTCATGAAGGAATATGTCTTAAGTTATAGTAGGATCCATATCCCTTCAAAAAGGAATACTCCTTAAGTTATAGTAGGATGCTTAGTTGATGGATTTTGGAAGGTCTGAGGGTTGAAAGGGTTTGGGTTTCCGGATTGAGGCGGTTGTGGGCTCTGGGCTTTGAGGGTCTACGGTTGAGGCTTTGCCAGCAATCACGTTAGCCCTTTTGGTTCAGAATTACATGAAGCATTTCATGGGCATGACCTTGCAACGAGCATACAGTATTTCCTTCCTGTCATATAGAGCTCCATGCTCTGCGCAGGTCAACCTTCAAGACCAATCGTGCTGGTTCGCGTAGGGTAGGCAGGAATATACCTCATAGTATCAACGACAGCAACAGATTAAGGATCGCTAAGGTACCTACACGACATACTGATCCGTCCACGGTCAGCCCTGAACCCAAAACTCCCTGACTCCTACACCCTACCTGGACCCCCAAAGTTTGGAGACGAATGATTTGTCTTGCGTTTCGGGGTTTAGGTCAGCCCTTTGCACACTTCCTGGGCCGCCGAGCTGTCTCTGCCTCATCAGGAGGAACGCGCTTTGCGCTGGCCGGCGATCGCTTCGCCGTGGACGGCGGCGATTTCGTTGAGGCCCCGGACTTAGATGAGATGCAAAGTAGGTTTTAGGGTTTAGGGTTTATACCTATAGGCTCCATTATGTGGTTCCTTTATGGGGGTTACATTGTGGGACCCTAAACTTGAACTGGGGTAAAGCATGGTAAACCGAAACAAGACTTACGATGAAGACTATGATACGTCAGTAGGATTCAGGTGTGGCTCGATTGACGTGGCTGAGGATCGTTTACTAAAGGGATCTTATCTGAAGCACTACACTAAACCCTAAACCCTTAACCCTGCCTTGCGCCCCGAGGTCGGCAGCAAGCTGATCAAGCTGAGACTTAGGCTCAGGAGTGGGTTGCCAGACCCCTAAACCCTAAACCCTAAATCCTAAACCCTAAACCCTGTGACACTAGAGGCTTCATGCTGCCCGGCTTCGAAAACTACTGCACCTAAGCGGGCCGAAAGTTCCTACCTATAGTCTTCACTGTAGTCCCTTTTGGGGTTTAACCGTTTTCATGTTAAGGATCCTATAAAAGGTAACCCCAAAAAGGAACTACAATGAAGACTATAGGTAGACTGGCAAAAGCACGAATATCGTTCAGACTCTCCGGAATAGCGGCCTGACGTACCAACACAACAAATCCACAAAGGCCACCCACACATGCATGTACAATGTACGCTCGATGCATATGTGGTTCTGCATACATAAACATATAGGCAAACAAACTGACCATAGTTAGTTCACAAATTAATTCATGTGTCTGTATATGTATACGCATATGCATATGCATATGTATATGTATGTATATGTATGTATATGTATGTATATGTATGTATGTATGTATGTATGTATGTATGTATGTATGCATGCATGCATGTATGTATGTATGTATGTGTGTATATGTAAACTATATATACACACTTCTATATAAACAACCCACAGTCATTCTCACACATACATGTACACAACAAGACATACATTAGATGTATAAAATATATAAATATACGCAAGCTTCTGTACTGGGCTAGTTGTCGGTTAGTACAAATCGGTCCAGGTAAGGCAACGGCCGTTCGCTTCTTGGCAGCTTTCCCCTTCCCTTCAGAGCGACCGGACGGGACAATCTGCTACAGCTAAAGCAAAGAACCCCTAATGCTTCCGGCTTTTTTGGCTTAGTTCGATTCTGAAGCCACATCTGGGCTTGTTCAGTTTGACGCTTCGAGCCGATGCAACTCGGACTCTCTACGCTCCACAAACCGAAACATAGCACCCTAAACTCTGTCTTTCCTAGATGTGAAACCGCACAGACCCGTAAGTCAAAGCCCCGGACTTTCAAAGGTTTGTGGCACATGTTTCTTTCATCGTTCGAAGCACCCTTGTAAGGCCCCGAAGAACCCGAACAACAAGCCCTGAACCCTTACAGGAACGAAAACACCGAAGCCGAAACCTTAATCCTCCAAAAATCTAACCTCATCGTCGTCTTTCAATCAATCGAAGTTGTCGGTGCTTAAGGTGTTATGGGGCGTTCAGGCGGCACGGTACTTGGAGGATCATGGGACTTAATAACTGGGGTTATATATAAGGTAACCATACTTTTCAGTATTTATAACCTGTTTATACTTTATAAGTAGTTATAACCTATTTATACTTATAAGTAATTATAACCACAATCAAGGTACTTATAACCTTACTTACTATGTCCCATGATCCTCCAAGTAGATGTTCGTGTGTAGGAGGTCCAGAAACAGTCAGCACATGGCCAACTCGAGAACCACGGACAACTTCGCGTTTACGGATACCCGAACGAAATTCCCGAAGACGATACTGCGATTGAGCATGGTCAAAACTGCGCAAACTCCGGAATGAAGTGGCACCAGAACGAGCCTTTCGCAGCATTGACTTCTGCAATGGCTTTCTTGGTGGCCTCATGCGACAAACTCAAACAGACCAACGCCTAGATCGTATAGCTGCAAACCCTCACCCTAAACCCTAAA